CCTCTTACAGAGACTAGAGGACTGGGTTGGCGTCGCTGGCACCGCCCTAAGTTGGTTTAGGTCTTACCTTGAAGACAGGAAGTACTTTGTGGAGATTGGAAACTGTGTCTCAGATCATATGGCCCTGACCTGTGGAGTACCACAGGGGTCGATCCTGGGACCTCTTCTTTTCAATCTCTACATGCTGCCGTTAGGTCAGTTAATACGCAGAAACGAAGTTTCCTATCATAACTATTCAGACGACACTCAGATCTATGTCTCACTGACTGCAGGAGAACATGGACCAGTGGAATCACTCCTTCACTGTATCCAACAGATCAGTGAGTGGATGCAAAACAACTTCCTTCAGCTAAACGCAGACAAAACTGAAATGATTGTCTTTGGTCCCCAGAAACAAAGAGAGAGCGTCATCTGTCATCTACAGTCTCTCTCCCTAAAACCTTCAAACAAGGTCAGAAATCTAGGGGTAATACTGGACTCAGACTTAAATTTTAATAGCCACATCAAATCAGTAACATCAGCAGCTTTTTACCATCTAAAAAACATTGCCAGGATCAAAAACATAGTGTCTAAAGCAGACTTGGAGATTCTTATCCATGCATTTGTCTCCAGTAGGTTAGACTACTGCAATGGCCTGCTCACAGGTCTGTCCAAACAGGCTGTAAAACAGCTGCAGTACATTCAAAATGCAGCAGCTTGAGTCTTGACTAGAACCAGGAAGTACGATCACATTAGTCCAGTCCTCAGGTCTCTGCACTGGCTTCCTGTGGCTCAGAGAATAGACTTTAAAACAGCTCTGCTTGTGTACAAGTCTCTCCATGGCCTCGCACCAAAATATATTAGTGACATGTTAGTCCCATACGAATCAGCCCGGACTCTGAGGAGCACAGGGACTGGACTCCTGTTAGTGCCCAGAGTCAGGACTAAACATGGGGAGGCTGCTTTTCAGATTCATGCTGCTAAAATCTGGAACAATCTTCCTGAAGATGTGAGACAGGCCTCCTCTCTGACAATGTTTAAAACCAAGTTAAAAACGGTGCTGTTTAGCTGTGCATACAACTGAGGGATTTTATATTTTTATCTTTCGTTTTAATGTTCTGTGATTATTTATGCTATTTTAATGCTATCTTGTTCAGCACTTTGAGTTGCCTTGTGTATGAATTGTGCTATACAAATAAACTTGCCTTGCCTTGCCTTGCCTTGTGTTTTTCTTTTGTGGAAAAAAAAAGGCTTCAAAGACATAAAAAGTTGTTCCTTCCCTCTTTGCTAAAAATACAATAGATTTGGCCCTAAACAAATCCTATGCTTGTGTTCCTCGTATTCTTAGCTAAACAATGAGACCTTGGTTGTGATGCGTGCAGTAGTTTTTTTTTAATAACAGCCGGGTTTCTACTGAAGTCTCTAGCCCCATAGCTGGTTTAGCGGTAGCAACATCAATGGCTCCAGCATCCTGTCGTTCTCTGATGACGTCGTATGGCCAAATGATTGATTGATCTAAACAATAGCCGTTAGCTTTCAAACAAAAGTTGGGACTTGGTATTTTTACCCCTGACACAGACACAAATACAAAATACGAGAAAAAAGCGGATTTTACGCACAGTATGTATGTAATTGCACTATAATAAAAATATAAACTTTGAAAAACTGTTACGAAATAATACAGGAAGATAGCTTTTAAGTACCAAAACAAACACATTTGTTTTTTGATGGTGATGGATGATTAAAAATTTGAGTAGATGTTGGCACACAGTTTGGCACATATTGGCCCAAAGATTGCCAAGTAAAAGCTAGTTTATGAAAAAGGGCAAATGCATCAATTTTAAAACGTAGAAGTCTGAAACTTTAGACAGTTTCTATGGTTTTATTAATTCAATAGTCTAGGCATGTATGTTCTTCGAAAGATGTAGAATGAAATAAGAATCATACAAATTATTCTAGTGCATATTTACATAAACTATAAGGCTCTGGCTTTAAAATTATGCACCACACAAGCATGTTATGTGTAGGACAAGACAAAATAAGAGCCCATCTACGGCACACACAGCACTCCACTTATAATATCTCTGCTGCTACCCGCACAATCATCCATCACACCATTGAACCCTGTACATCTGTGATTGTCCACAGTAGGTTATGGCGAGTGCACTACACGCTACACCAGTATCACAGACAGAGTGACGTGAATGAGACGAAGCACACGCACAAACCTCTTCACACTCCCAAACAACACAGGTACGTCGGACTATCACATTCCTACGCTGGGCTGATACTTGTGAGATCAGTAAATACCAAAGGCTCGTTGTTTCAAAACTTCTGCGACACAAGCTTAGGATCGTTCACAAACAAAGCATTGCTTACAGGTTTAAATAAATCGAGCTACACACCTTAATGCATTAGCTGTTGGCCACCATTCACGGAGAGTCCAATCTGGTTACAGTCAGAGAAGCACTATATTTTGTACGCTGACAGATTAGAACATAGGTAAATGTGTTGAATGGTTGAATAGATCCACAAAACTTTTCTCTGAGTATTCGCGACGCCCAGGGACAACCAAAAACACATTTTAGATCGCTTTTGCCAGTCGGACTTAACTTTAAGAAAATAAACAGTAGCATTACACAAAGGGTTTGGCGCCATGTTATTAACAACTACTCGCGAGGAAGACATATTTGGTGGGGACA